AACAGCAACATGCAACCAACTTTGAAAGTAGCCCCACTGACCAGCTTGTTTGTAAATGAGGAAACATTTATTTCCAGAGTCACAGGATGGAAGAGTGGGGAGATGGGATGAGAGATAGGCTGATAGCCTGTCTAAATTATGCTGCTACTTTTGAGTGACCCTTTGGGTATCATTCATTCATTCATTCATTCATTCATTCCATAGCATTTGTTGAAGTCTCCTATAACACACAATACCGAGTGCTAGCATGTTCTGGGAAAACCTGGTGGCACAGTGCTTAAGAGCTATAGCTGCTAACCGAAAAGGTCAGCAGTTGGAATCGACCAGGTGCTCCTTGGAAACCCTATAGGGAAGTTCTTCTCTGTCCTATAGGGTCGCTATGAGGAATTGACTTGACGGCAATGGGTTTCTTTTTAGCATGTGCTGGGCTTCCTCCCTTTCTTTCTTGCAAGGGGAGAGCGAGAAGAGTGGTCAGGAAGCTGTGGTGAGGCCTGCTCTTTGGCTGAGTTGTTCAGTTTCCCTTCTTCCCTTTCTTCAAGCTCTGTCCCTCTCTGTCAAAAGCCATGGGGGCAGGGAGGCAGGAGAGAAAACTATCAATGGTTTGAGAAAAAGGAACAGGATTAAGTAATATCTGATTATCCTTCCGATGTTCATCCAAGTTAAATAGGCTAATGTCCCTCCCCTGGCCTCTGACAGGAAGTCTGTGGTAGAATTAGTGCTGTGGTGTTTGTCATGGGTATCACTGGGCTGCCATGGTACTGGGAACGCTGACCCTCTTGGAAAATCAGTGATGTGGTTGCCTAGCTGTTGTGATTGCAAATGGCCCCTTAAAAAAAAAAAAAAAAGTTGTCATATATATTATAAGCCTAATTTTTATGCAAATAAAAGCTCCATTTAAATTAAACAGAAAAACATTGGGTCAGAATAGCCACTGAACATTTCTTTTTGGTCTTATAATTAAAAGTACTTATTTTTAAAATGAGGAAATACAATGAAAAACAAAGCTGGAGACCCATTGTCCAAACATGACCATTGTAAATAAATTGGTATTCAGTGTATTAGTATTTTTGTTTCCACTCCAATATCTGTCTCTCCCTCTACCCTCCTCCATCATGAGGTGGCATTTATTTTGTGTTTTTTTAAATATGCAAATACATAATATTTTACACAGATTTTCCTCGTTAGAAGTGTCATTCTTTTCGTTGATGTATAATAGTCCATTGAATAGTTATCTCATGCTTATTTAACTAACATCCTGGCATCTTTCTTTAAAGTTAGTGAATTGCTAAGTAGTGTATTAGGAATCGACTCGACGGCAATGGGTTTTTTGGAGGTTGGGTATATTAGTTTCCTAGGGCACCCATAACAAATTACCACAAACTGGGTGGCTTATAAGAACAGACATTTATTGTCTCAAAGTTTTGGAGGCTGGAAGTCCACATCAAGGTGTTGGTTGGGCCATGCTCTCTCAGAAGTCTCTAGGGGAAGACCCTTTCTTGTCTGTTCCAGCTTCTGGTAGCCCCAGGCGTTCTTCAGCTTATAGCTACAGCATAACTCCGTCTCTGCCCCCATCTTCACATGGCTGTCTTGCCTCTATGTATCTGTCTCTCTGTGTTTCTTCTCCTGTTTTATAAGGGCACCACTCATATTGAATGGTTCATACACTCCTCTTTTATAAGGACACTACTCCACTGTGTGGAGCCCTGGCGGCGTAATGGTTAAGAACTCGGCTGCTAACCGAACAGTCAGCAGTTCAAATCCACCAGCCACTCCTTGGAAACCCTATAATGCAGTTCTTCTCTGTCCTATAGGGTTGCTCTCAGTCAGGACCGACTCAACGGCACCTAACAACTACTACTCCACTGTGACTTCATGTTAACTTAACTGATAACATCTCTGAAGACCCTATTTCCAAACAAGGTCATATTCACAGGTACCAGAGGTTTGAAATTCAATATATCTTTTTGGGGGTCACAACTCAATATATAACACTAAACATAAGGTAGGTAGAAAACGGCATTATATTTTACAGATTAGGGCAACAAAAAGTTGTATGTCCATCAGTGAGAACAGGCTCTATATTGGATTAAAACACAGACTCCACTCTGGCGGGGCCAGGAGTTAGGAGAATGAGGAACCAGAGCAAGCTGGCACTCAGGGTGGGCTGGGAGGTTCATGGAGAGCTTTTGAAGAATGATTTGTAAATAACATTTGCATTACTTCTCGAGAGATCTCAAAAAATCTCCATCTTTGTGTCCAACCCTCAGGAAATCATGTTTTCCCTAAAAGGTACACAAATCTGCCTCTGCTAACATCACAATTCATTCCTTGCCAACTATTTCTTCTACTGGAAAAAGAATTAGATCAGGCTAAAGGCCAGTTAAAGAGTTCTGGTGGTGCAATGTGAAGTGCTCAGCTGCTAACCAAAAGATGGGTGGTTTGAACCTACCCAGCAGCTCTGTGGGAGAAAAGACCTGGAGACCTGCTCCTGTAAAGATTACAGCCTAGGAAACCCTCCGGTGCAGTTCTATTCTGTCATATAGGGTGGGTATGAGTCAGAATTGACTGGCCGGCACACAACAACAGCAATAACAAAGGCCAATTAGGAGTCCCTGCAAACAGTTAAGTACTCAACTACTAGCCAAAAAGTTGGCGGTTTGAACTCATCCGGAGGCATCTCGGAAGACAGGCCTGACGAACTGCTTTCAAAAGATCATAGCCTTGAAACCCTATGGAGCACGGTTCTACTGTGCACACATGGGGTCACCATGAGTCCGAATTGACTCTATACCAGCTAACAACAAAGGCCAATTACACAAACAGTAACACACAGCCGGCCTCTTCCCAAAGCAGCTGCTGAAACTCATGGCCCCATTTCCAGAGGAGAGAGATCTGGAATCCTGAAAGACGTAGAGCGTCTGTGTGGCAGTGAGATTTTGATGAACAGAGGTTCACATCTCAATCATATGATGAGCAAATCATTTCTGGACAACTCCGTGATATTGCCCCTGGCTTTATTACTGTTAAATAAACACGGCAGGCTAGGCTGCTGCCATTTTGCTGTTTTCAAGTAAGCAAGCAAGCAGAGCAATTGATCTGTCTCTCCCAAAGGCTTCCCTCTCTGTTATCTCTTTGAATTTTAATATTGTTAAAGCCTTAGTAATAGGTAGGCTAAGCACACATGTAATGAATCCCATTAGTCATAAGTAGCTCCCTGCACCCAAGAAAAGGAAGGAGGAAGCCCTCTCACAAACACAGGCAAGCCTCTCCAATTCAAACTACCTGGAAGGGAAGCTGATCTGAATTACGCATTTCCTTTTTAAAACTGCCTTCAAGCATATGTAGAAACCCTTTTTAAAAAACAAAGTTTTATCTAACAAAAGTCTTTAGGTGAGCTGCTTCAAGGAATCAGTAAGAATGCTCTTGAGTAAGCAGGAGTTTCTAAAATACCCAAGGGTACTTTAAAACTGCTCTCTTGCAAAGGGTGAATTTCTCCAGATTATTCCGAGGACACTTTGCTAAGTAAACTCTTCCTCCAAGGTGCGTGCACAGGTGAACCCCAAGCTAAGTCCTGAATCCAAAGAATTGTTAATTCCAGATTCCTTAAAGTCCACATTAAGGACGACTGGATGTAATGGGCACCCTATGGGGAAGCAGGTATGTGCTGCTACAGCCTGCCAGCTTTCAAGTTTATTTATTCTCACAGAAGTGACGGAAGAGCTTCTGAGCAAGAATGAGGCAGCAAAAATGTCTAATGTTGAGGTCATCATATAGCAAGATGTGAGGGGGTGGGGAAGCCATAGCATCCACAGCATTCTTAACAACAACACAAAGCCCTTTCTACTACTTACTGAGGGAGTTTTTGTTTTTGCTTCTTGTGTTGCTTGTTTTATTTTATAGGAAAAGTGACGTTTGGGGGAAAGATGTTGTTACAGGATTTGCAGAACAAAGGAAACCCTGGAGGGCCTCCTGGTCTCCCTCAGATTAAAATCCGCAGTCCTTACAGAAAGACCTGCAAGGCAGTATGTAGCCAGGTCCCTTGAGTGCACTGTCTCTGACCAGGACTCCTCTGTCTTTCCCACTGGCCTCCTTGGAGCTCCTGGTCCCTGCTGAGCACACACTTACCACAGGACCTTTGCACTTGCTGTCTTCTCTGCCTTGAAGGCGCCTGCTCTCTGTCTCTTCATTCAGGCCTCTGTTTACAGGTCATTCATCAGAGACCTCTCTAGTGGAACACAGCCCATCTCCCTTCTGCCCTCTCTCCTCTTAACCGGTGTGGATGGCCTTCATAGCACATCCCCTTCCCTCGCATGTCTTTAGAATCCCTGGATGGTGCAAATGGTTAATACACTCAGCTGTTAACCAAAAGGTTGGAGGTTTGAGTCTACCCAGAGGTGCCTCAAAAGAAAGGTCTGGTGATCTACTTCCAAAAAATCAGCTGTTGGAGACCCTGTGGAGTATAGTTCTACTGTGACACACATGGGGTCACCATGAGTCAGTCAACTTGATGGCAACTGGTCTGTTGATTGTCTGTTGATTGTTGGCATGTCTTTATTTGGTTACCATCTGTTTCCCCAACTAGAATGGAAGCCGCATGAGGGCAAGGCTTCTTTTGTTTATTCACTGCTGTATCCACAGGGCTTGCATATAACTGGCCCTCAAGAAACATTAGTTAACTGAATGAATGAATGAACAAATGACGAAACCAAGTAACTATGTACTGAGGATGCTTTTAGAGACCTTCTCTACACATTGAGTTTCTCTTTCTCTCTCTCTCACACACACATACACATGCACACACACACAAACACAGAAACGGAATCGGTAGGGACAGTGTCCCACAAGGACAGGATCTCAACCTGCCCCTGCCCTGCCGAGACCCACCAAGTCAAGAAACAACTCTTTATGTGCCTTCCAGTAACATTAATTGTTGGTCATAAAACTTCAAAGAAACAGATATTTATAGCTTGATTAAAGCCCTTTTTTCCACACATACTCACCACAGCACTTTCCAACGCCGTTCCCATGAGCATACTGAAAACAGCGCTCTGCCCACTTCCTGTCGAAGCCAGTTCCTTAACCGCCTCAGTCCTGACGCTTGTCGGCTCTTTTTTTTTTTCCAGTGTGCAGGTCTTTCGGTTTCTCTTGGGTTTTCGCAGTTGGGTTTTTCACTCCTTTTCTCAGGCACCCAAGCCCCCATTGAGCCGCCCCCGTATCCAGCATGACGATAGGGGCCGACGAAGAAATAATACCCCTGACTGCGAGAAAAATTTCCTTCTCAAAACATCCTTCTGAGGGAAAACAAGCAAAAGCTATAAGTTTCACAAGATCCAGATAGCTAAGATGGCAATCTTGTTTACTAGGCCTGAAAGCTTGAGGGGCTGGAAAATATTTAGTAAGTAGACCAATATGAAGAAGTAATTCCTGTTTTTATTCATAAATATCAGTATGTGAAAATACTAGTGATAATGGTAATTATATTGAGTATCAACCATTGCCAGAAACTTTACAAGTATTATTTCTAACAGCTATAAAAATCTTGTCAGATAGGTAACTAATGTTTTTGCATGAGTAAACAGACATAAAAGAAAGTTTAAGAGACTTGCCCTGTTGCTCAAAAATGGCAGAGCGGACTACTGTGCCCACTATGTTCACATTCTTGGTATGAAGTCCTGGTAGTACAGAATTGTATGAATTATATGAGAGAAAGGATATCTAAGTATCCTGGTTCAGATACAATGGAATTGGCTCGATTTCTGGTGACAGCTACGTATGAGGTACATTGTGTTAATCACATACTGCTCTCATTATGTTAAATATCACGACTCAAAAAAAAAAAAAAAGGCAAATTTAAAAAGTGTTCCAACAGAAAGCATCTTTTGGTAAAGGAAGGATCAATAGGCATGTTTAGCTTTAAAAGATGGAGGTCAGATTACATCCTGGGTTTCTACTGGCGTTGCTGTATGGTGGGTTATGATTTCTCTTTGAATAGGTGGTATATATCAGAAGTAGTCTTACCAGCCCACAATAAGTACTAATTGTGGTAATTAATAAGTACTGTGTGGTTCTGAAAAGAGCCTTGGTGGCACAGTGGTTAAGTGCTCGGCTGCTAACTGAAACATCAGTGGTACGAACCCACCAGCTGCTTTGTAGGAGAAAGTCGTGGCAGTCTACTTCCGTAAAGACTACAGCTTCGGAAGCCCTATGGGGGCAGTTCTACTCTGTCCTGTAGGATTACTATAAGTTGGAATCAACTTGACAGCAATGGGTTTGTTTTTATTCATTTTTATTTTTTATGTGGTTCTGAACGTGGAAGACACATTTGAGAACTAATGCACCCACAGTGGAAGAAGCCCCCTCTGTAGATGGTATCATCTGAGAAAAATGGAAACCAAAGTGGTCTCCACAGGATAGAGCTAGAAAACCCCTTTTACTTTCAAAAAGAAACTCCCAAAGAAGATGCTGTGTTTCTTCATACTGTCATTTTTCCAACTGTATCATACCCGCAGTGGTCCCATACCATGCATTCCCGTGACCATGAGGTTGGCCTTTGCACCATTCACCCATGGAGAATGGAGATGCTCATCAGTGCTGTTCACTACCCCAGGCAAGTCCCACAACTTTCTGCAATCCTTGTCCTTCTCTGGTCTGGACTAAAACTCTGAGGTTCAGCGGGGCAAGCCCAGCTGCAGAATTCCTGCTGCTGCCTGGGTTTTGCATCTCTGTGATGGAGAAAACAGCCAATATACTATAATGTCCTGCTTAGTCTTTACCTCAAAGCAGCCCTCCCACTGGCCCAAGTTTAGGATTACAAGCCTGGGTTGCTTGCAGGCCACGCTTGGATGTTATCATGCCAGCTAGTCCAGAGCCTGGCCAGTGACCAACGGCTTGGCCTAGGAAGATGGGCTGATTCGATCAGATTTTTCTCTTTTAGGAACCTGAGGGGATCAATAGTGTGTGCTGAGGTCATACCATAGAGAGGGGTCAAAGAAGCCAAGATCAGAATGTGTAAGTCAAAATTAAGAGGAAGCAGAAATGATGAGCAAGCAGAAGAAGCTAGAATGGAGGAGAGATGCTGAGGGAGCAGGGTCATATAGTGGTAGAGCCTTAGACTAAAGATCCATGAACACTACATGCTGACAGTCCCTAAGCCTCCTTTAGTCCAGAACAACCCTCCATTTCCTGTCTCTTCGAGGACTGGCTGTTAGACTCTCCTGGTCCCCTTGTACAAACATATTTATAAAAGGCTCCACATTACATGAGGCAACTTGAGTGATTTCCTTCCAACCACAAGAGCCTACTGAAACAGCAGGGATATTGCCAGATTGCAGAGAAAGTGCTACAGATACTAATAATTTAAGTCTACTCTTTCAGCAGGACCACAAACTTGAGTACCTGAAGGCCTTACTATGGGCCAGTAGCCATATTCAGGTAATTCCTCTCTTCACCCCACATGAAGTCAAATCGGCATTACTCAGGACTTCTTGTCCAGCCAGGAGTCTTGTTCTGGCTTCTTGCCTCTTGGCCAACTTCTTCCTAGCTTGTTGTTCCAGCAGAGGGATGAGATGAGGAAATCTTAACCAGTTACCCCAAGCCTGGCCTTCCTGGCTCTGAAAATTGAGAGCCACCTACAAACCATGAAATCTGACTGGCAAATCTGACTGGCAAACAGTGATGTTTGCTGAGATAAGCTCTCTTTGATGTGACTAGCTTTCTTTTCCCTTGTTCGTTCTGACTCTTTCCCTACTCTGCCCCATTCCTCTGAACATAGGAAGAACCAAGCTTTGTCTGGGAATAGTCCAGGTGTCTACATGTGTCATACTTTTCTGGTGGGGAGAGAGAATGAGCCAACCTAGGTCACTGAAGAAGGCCCAGCTGAAGGCCTTGGAATCATGAGAATTTCCCTAGGCTGTTCGGTAAAGCTCATGAAGTCACTCCTTACATACCACATGCCCTTTCACCTCTAAAGTGCAACCCTTCCCCATCCAATACTAAGTACAGGGTCTCAGGGCCAATTAAGGAGTCTGTCAGGAGGCCAAGTGGGCACCTAGCTCCAGGGATCCACCATTCCTGGCTGTGTATTTCACCATGCTGCCTTTCAGACATGGGCCCACAGTGCTCTGAAGAAAATCTGTTCTGGAGAAAGAT